TCCTCTCTCTCTTTCCAGGTGGGTTGTTTATAAGAAACACAGATCAAGAATATACAGCTTTCCGCTTGGCCATATTTCTTCACAATACGAGTCCGAATGCCACGGAAGCCCCTTTCAATCTGGTTCCACATGTGGACAACATCGAGACGGCCAACAGCTTTGCAGTCACCAATGCCTGTGAGTGAAAGATGTCAAAAGTTGTCAAAAATGATGTGACACAGTCTGAAACTGAATCGAGTGTGCTTTGATTAGGCTCTTTTTCATGTTCAGAGTTACATTTGACTTCATGAAGAGTGAGACACTGACTCTGTGACTCTTGCAAAACATTTTTCTGTTTGTTTGAGTGGCCCAACTTGTCAACTTCTTGCTTAACCAATGAAGTGAGTTTGGGGGTGGGACTTTCTGTTTGTTGACCAATGACAGGTGAGGTGGGGCATTGGGAGTGTCTGAGAAACCTGTTTGAAAACAGTCATTATTTTTGCTATTCTATGTGGGGAAATGATACACTGCAGCTTTAAAGAGCAAGTTTTTCATTAATTTAGTGTTTTTGGTGCGTGCATGCATACACTGCAACATCAACCCTTGATCAGCTTTCAGCATATGCTTTGGTGTGCAACTGTCCGTTTCTGGCTGCTTTAGGATGGTTGTCGGTCGATTCCTTTTCAGTTGCCTGCTATTCAAGTCAGAAACAAAAAAGGTTGTAGGTCAGAAATGTTTTCTATGCAGACACAGGCACAAGTGCTTGAGCATTGCAAGTGTATAGCCTGTTTGCATACTGTAAAAAGCTCAGCACTCAAGAGGCCATAGAGAACTTAAAACCGTTTTAACAATTAAACGTAATTACTTAACATAATTCACTTTAATCTACATGAACATTAGATTCCTTTACATATCTATACTTCACTGGGAGTCAATGGCACTTACCTGTATCATTGATTTTAGTGCAGTAGCGATCTATGTTTGGACAGCAGGCCTCAAACACATCATTTTGGGTCGTTTTCAGACATTGTGCTTCACTGGATGTCAATGAGAGCGTCAGAAGCATTGAAAAAAGCATAAAAGCATATTGTGATGAAGCATATTGGACATTGAGCTTTCAATTAATATATTTATGTATTGCCTTTTCAGTATGACGATTGTGTGAGCTTTGAAATGGTTTAGCTTGGAGACTATGTAGTTCAGATCTGCTCTCTTGAAAGATTAAGCACACATTATGACGTCTGAACCACTAGCGGCATCAGATTTCAGCAGTTTTATTTTAGTGTATTATGTATATACTATTTTAGTTTTTTTATTAACATTTTTAATTAGCTTTTATTTTAATGTTTTCATTTTAATATTTTTTTGTAATTCTGTTATGTGCTTTTGTCAATTTTATTATTATTATTATTTATTTTAATACTACTATTTAGTAGTTTGAATTTTTATTTATTTCTAGTTTTTTAATTTTAGTGCTTCAACTTAAACTTATTTCACTTAGTTGCCTATGCCACATTTCTCTTTTTTTCATCTAATATTTTATTTTATTTCAGCTTGATTTCATGATTTTCAGCTTGATATATTCAATTTTAATATTTTTAATTTTAATGACAATAATCTTGGCTTAAATTGGCGGTGAAACCAATCACACCAAATCTTTTCTTTCATATTGTTACGCACATCTGAGTGTAACAGATTAGCGACAAAGACGTGGGGCGGGGACTTGCTTTTATGCATCAGTTGTTGATTGGATGTTGAGATGTGGGCGTGGCACTCAAAAATGGATGAAGGGCCTGAGTTTAACCTGACTAAATCATCAGAGAAGCCCTGCATATGTCACCAGAGAGAAGTCTGTCATTTTCAGATCCAGTTATGACATTTTGATTCAACATTACGAAACACTTTTAAAAATGAAACATACACAAACAATCACTATAAGATCTATTACATCCATTTAGAAAATAGATAGGGTGAATTTTCATTTCATGCCACCTTAAAGAAATCAGAAACCAAAATAGTGATCTATAATGAAACATAAAGAATCTCAAAACACTCTCAGAAAAAAAGGTACAAAAGCTGTCACTGGGGCAGAACCCTTAAGGGAAGGAACTAATTGAAGGAACTAATATGTACCATTTAGGTACTAATATGTCAACTTTAGGAACTAAAATGTGTCTTTAAGATGCCCAAATGCACACTTTAGAGGTAAACAGGGCACAAAAGTGTATCTTTTGAAAAGGTACCACCCCAGTGACAGCTATTTTACCTTTTTTTCCTGAGAGTAAAGAATCTCAGCAACTCATCCCTAAATAGCCAAAAATGGCTCTTGATAAGAACTTAAAGAACCACTGAAGAACCTCTATGAGCAAACGTCAGACAGGGACCAGCAGAGACGAGTCAATCCCAGTTTAACCTCTCTCCCGCTGGGCACCAACCTCTTGCACTCCTGCACACTGGGTGCCCAGCCTGAGTCTGCAGAATCCACTGCTGTCCTGATGCAGCTGTGTGTGTGTGTGTTATCTCTGCCCTGGCTGCCTTCCAGCTCTTTTAGCCCTCATCAGCTGCGGAATACTGACAGCTTTGGGAAGTGCGTGTGTGTGTGTGTGTGTGTGTGTGAGAGAGTGTGTGTGAGATAGATGGAGAGAAAGAGGGAGAGAGGTGAAGTTAATCGTTTCCTGCTCGTCTCCTCAGGCTGCAGGAGAGAATAAGGAGTGGAAAGGGTTTTCTCTTTTATCCTAACACACCTTTATCTGAACGCTTAAAAACAGCGAGCAAAATCAATCTCTGAATGAGTTTCAGCTGAGAGAGGGAACACGTGATGAATGGAATCAGGAGATTGAGGGATTTATTTAATGAAATGGGAGGAATGAAGAAATTACAGGAATGATATGTTGTCAAATGCAGGACAGACGAGAAACGGAGGGAATGAGAGGAAGGGGATAAAAGAGATACAGGAGAGAGAGAGAGATAAATGGATGGGTGTGTCGTGACCTTTGTGCAGCAGTAAATGTTTAGAGCAGATACTGTGAGAGAGAGATGAAGAGAATAAAATATAAAACAAGATGCAATAGACTGGTGGATGAGAAAGAACGAATGACGTAGATGAATTAATGAATGAATGCCAAGTTCTATCATGAAACTCTAGATGGCGCAGACTGATGGGTCCTTGACACAAACTGATGATGTTCACAGCATTAAACTGCTTGGCACAAGATGATTGGTTTAAGTTGCATATACAGCCAATGAGCTTGCCGCTTTACATTTAAATGCCTGGTTAGCCTTCACTAGAGCAGTTCACAGCGCGCTTCCTGAGTTCCTCTGAAACCCTCCACCTTCCCCAGCTCCACCTGTATAGATCTGCTACGGTTTATTATAGATGCTATTTGTGCAGCAGCAGTATGTCTTAAATACTCACAGCACCGTATCGGCAAATGTATTGTCAGTAGCAAGTTCATGTACTTGCTCTGCAGCAGCAGCAGCAAAAATCTACAACAGCAGCAATAACTAACAGCAGCAGCAATTCAGCAGCCAAGACCAAATACATTAACATTGTCATATCATAACCATGCAAAAATCTTCTGAGAGTTGTCATTATAGAAATACAGTAAACGGAGAGACAGACAAACAGACAGAATGACAGAAAGAGATAACGATAGAGATAGAATGAATGGTAGATATAACGAACGATAGATAAAGCGAAAGATAAAATGAATGATTGACACAGACAGACAGACAGACAGACAGACAGATAGATAGATAGATAGATAGATAGATAGATAGATAGATAGATAGAATGAATGAATGACAGAATGATAGATAGAATGATAAAATGAATGATAGAACACACAATGGAATGATCTATTGATAGAATGAACAAATGTTAGAATTAACAAATGAAAAATAGAATGAATGATAGAACGAACGACAGATGCAATGAACGAATGACAGAATGAATGATAGGACGAATTAACTAACGAACAAGTCCACCATCCATCCATCTATCTATCTATCTATCTGTCTGTCTGTCTGTCACATGTAGGTTGATGTCATGATGTTGGATTTGTTTGTGGTGCTTCAGCTGTAATTTAATTGGTTTAATCAGAGTTCAATCCACTCTGTCATCCGCACACACACACACACACACACACACACTCTCTCTCTCTCTCTCCCACTCATTCACTCACCCGCGGGCCACAGCAGAACAAATTTTAAATAAAATTAAGCTTTGTGACGCTTATGAGGTTCTTTTGTCAGGGAATCATCATCATCATCATCGTCATCTCAACAAGGCATCACAAACATCCAATAATCCACCACAACACACACACACACACACACACATACACACATGATCTCGACAGCCAGGAGCTTCAGTCTCTCACTGAATGATGTGTGTTTGCTCTGGTCGAGTGAGTAATGCGTGAACCTGTCTGTGACCTGTACTCTGTGTGTGTGTGTGTGTGTGTGTGTGTGTGTTGTGTGTGTGTGTGTGTGTGTGTGGGTGTGTGTGTGATGTGTAAATGTTTATCCATGTGTTGCTGGATCTTGCTGTCTTGAGATGGTTCAATGAATCTCTTTACTGACTCAGTAATTGATTCATTTATTCGCCTGCAGTGATTGTCTCATTGTTGCATCAGAATGTGTGTTTGTGTTTTAGCGTATCGCGCTGCGGTTATGTAGAGAAGTCTACATATAGCAATCACAAACAGTATTTGCACAGACTTAAAAACATCTGAATGTCATTCATAACAGAAAATATAATTTATCATACAGACAGACAATACAGTTAACAGTTAACATCAAAACACTTGACAAAAAGAAGTTAGAAATGATAAAACAATAGATCTAGTGTTGAAAATGTAGACAAAATTGATGTAGACATCATTTTCCTGAATTAGGAAATCTAAGATAAATTCTGAGAAACATAAATGATTAATTCACCTCCTGAGACGCAAGTCATTTATGTGACAGACGCTAAACGAACAAATCATTCATGAACGAACTCTCTCTAAAGTCCACTAAAAATCACCAAAAAAGCATTTGATTAAAAGACACTGAAAAAGCTTTGTAAAGTCTGTCTGCTAAGTTCAGATAACTATAAATCTATTCAATTAAACTACAGAATTAATTAAAATGCCTGTTCATTCTTTTTAAAGAAAAAAATGCCTGTATTTTGTACTCTTATAATGTTTGATAAT